CTCAAAAGTAATTTTAAGATACAGAATACGTGGGACTGAGGACAGACTTACACTACAAAGGCTATATATCTTTATTTACTGGACTTAGGGGTCACAGTACTCCTGCCACTCAGCTAAGGTCACATTCCATGGGCAATTTTGACCTTTTGCTTTGGACAGAAGTTACAAACCAAGTTCCTTGAGGGCAAAACAAAGAAAAACTTGGACCACTTGTGAAAGCAGAGACCAGTATGTCACATAGCATCTGGCCTATCTCACACAGGGGTCACATTGACAAAGAATAACCTGCTATATGACTTCTTAGGTAACAAAGACCTTCCCCAGAGTAAGAAAGCACAGGCATTAAAATGCGACAAAATTATGAAATGTTTCAACGGGCTGCTATGAGAGCTATGGAGAGTTAAAGTGAATTAAATTACTTTATTTCATAGTGTAGAGCCCTTAGAATGATTTTATTGGAGCAAGGGGGCCAGATAAAAACACTTGAAATTCTAATAATTCCTCTCACAACTTCGAAGATAATAGTTTATTTTTGTATTACTAACTTAATGCAGAAATGCTTCACCAATAGAGATTTTTCTAATTGATGTTCATAAATTTGACATCTTCTGGAATAAGAGACTGGGATTTTATAAAGCTTTAGTCATTTTCTTGACAAAGAATCCAAAACAAAACAGAACGTAATATGCTGTTCAAGCAAATATATGTGCAAAGTAAAATAAATGTCACAGCAAAAAAGAAAATCACGATAAATTTATTTGTAAGATTCTTGAAGGAAACTATCAATAGCAGAGAAGATTTGGTGGGGAAAGTTAGGAGACGGTAAATTTTTAAGCCTTTTAACTCTAATTAGAAGAGTAGGAAAAGACTTGTAAAGTGCCATGTAGTATTTTCATTAGAAGTAGCATATTCTAGGAGATTAAAGAGAAAGAAAACTGCTCTATCCTATCCAGTCTACCTGGAAGAATTTCTAGCAGCAGCCTGTAAGGTAAATGGAGTGTGGAGAACCAATTCACAAATTGCAGGCTTGGGAAAGAACAACACTGCTTAGAAAATGAAAGTCGATCAAGATTGGAAACATTTCACCTGTTTTCATTTAAATCTTCCATCTTTTCTCCTGCTGGTTTAGGAAAGAGAATACAGCATAATGGGACAGTAGGGACTGTGAACTCTAAATATTTCAAAATAGCCACAATAACATGCTCAATGTAATTTTTTGAGGCTAAAAAGAAAACTAGGGGCATTAGGATAATCTCCAAGTTAAAGCATGGTTTATGAAACTTTGAATAACTGTTTCCAATTGCATCTTTTTGTAAATGAAATACTCGCTTTAATCCATTAAGATAGAAAATTTAAAAAAGAATCTATGAGGACGCTCAAAACTGGAAAATGGCGTGAAATATTTTTAGATTGGTCTCCTGGTTTCAGTGAAATACACACTCGTCATACACAGCAAAGAGCTGCAACCTTAAGGATCTCATAAAACCAGATTCCCATGCTCATTTTTTTCATTCAGTTCAAGACCCTTCATGATATTCAAGACTCTTCCAAAGCATCCAGGCCCAAATTCTTCATGTATATTCCTAACTACCTCATGAGAAGGTCCTGACAAGTCAATTAATTCTGGCAGGTCAGTACAATTGAAGAACAGACTCACAGTACCTCAATTCAAACAGGTGTCAAAGGTACCTGAGGTCTTCTAAAACAAACTATTAGCCATCACCTATGTATTCTTCAAAAACACTGCATGTAGAAGTCCAACACTAACTTCAAGGGCTTAGCATTAAGAAATTTTGGAATGTAAATTGTATCATCACTAACCTATTACACCCGCCGGTGTGTACAACACTAATAGGACACAATTTTGTGAAATTCTTCAAAGAGATTATTATGCCAGTATTTCAACTGGAGTAATAATTACTACTAAAAAATCTGTGTTACAAGATGACTGTGGTAGCTTTTCTTATTTAATCTTCACATCAATCTTATGAGGTCTAAATAATCCCACATTAGAATACTGCCTTTATAACTTCCACTTTACAGATAAGACATATGGTGGGGCTGATCTCTGCACCACACCTCCACACTTCAGAGCTCCTTCTCTTTACCTGTATCATGGCTACAGGTTACCTTCTTAGGAACTATGGGCTGCATTGTGCACACTACGACTGGCCACGGATATTAACTGATAACAGTGCTCATCAGAATTGGGTTGCTGAGTCTGGAGTTTCAGAATATGGCCAGGGCATCCAGAAAGGCAACAGCTTTCTAATACCATTTTGATTTAATTATTGGGAATATGAAATTTCTATTGACATACTTCAGGTGGCCAGCTTTATAATTCTTGAGACAAAGAGAGAAAATTATCTCCCTTGCATCATAAAGCTCATCAGAGGGATAGAGTTACACATTAAAGCTCTCTGGGCAGTCCTGAGATATTCCTCCTCCTCCTCATTTGTAAGGTTGGAAATCTCCATATGTAGAAAAATAAAATGAAAACATTTACTGAGTGACTAGTATGAGTCAGTCACTGCTTCAAGGATACATTCATCAATATGTCTAAACCCATATAAGAGCTACAACATACAAATATTATCCTTCTGTAGCATTTTACCTTGTATCAAGATGTCTCTCCAAAGCCCCAAGTGGTCATGGATGGGACTTATTAAGAAGTGGCTGGATCTAAAGTGTGCAATGTCAGGACTGATTCATGGGGCCATGCTAGGCCAAGGGCACTAGGGTTAAGGGCATGAGCGCCACCCACCCTAAGCAGCCTCGTAAGATATAAGGGATGGAGAGATCTGTGGTTGTCACTTGCTTGATTTGCTCCTGCTGGATGCCATGAGCTGTGTCTCTTCTGCCATGCTGCTCCTCACAGGAGCAGCCAGCTGTGAACTGCAAGTTCACAAACTGTGAACTAAAGAAAACTTTTCGCCCTGAACCTTGGGTGTTGGGTAATTTGTCACTGCAACAAGGAAAGTAAGATATATGCCATGACTCAAAGTGAGGCGCAGAACAGTTAAGGGACTTACCCACAGTCTACCTGAAGTGGTAGATCTTGACTTGGAACTCAAAAATCATGATACCAAAGGCAACACACTTCACCACATACCATGATCTTTCTTACTTGTCAACCGAGATAACTATAGGAAAATCATCACAGCAAATGTGAAAACATTCTTCAAAGGGGTACAAGCAATGACTCAAAGAGGAAAAATTATTTTTTGATTTTAGGAAAAATCCAGCATGAACTGTGGTTCCTAAAACTACACTTTAGGCTTCTGTCCTTTTGCTTGCCTCCCTCTCTCTCCTTTTCTGTTGACACCACTCCTGCCCTTTCTCTCCTTTTATTTTTTTGTCATAAATTTACCTTGTCTTAAACAACTATACTAATTAGTATTGATTGTGTCCATGTGCCAAAGTGCCACTGTTGTTTAAATAATTCACTCTAGTACATGTATAATTTGGGGGATTTAATGTCTTTATTTTCATTGTGACTAATAATTTAGTAAGATGACAACATTCATTGGATTGCTCTAAATTTTAAAAAATATTTAAAATCAATATAAATGATTATGAAAAATTTACAGCTGAACTCAGCAACATATATGAATCTCATAATGTTTAGCAAAAGAAGCCAAATGTATAATTTATACTATATGATTAAATTTATACAAACTGAAAAAAACAGACAAATTGACCTGTAGTGTTAGAATTCTGGATGTAGTTACAGCTACACCCTCTGCAAGATGCAATGGAGCTTCTGGTTTTATTGTCATTTTGATTTTTGATATGGCTGGTGGTTACACAAATGCTTCATTTTGAGCAAGTTCACTGTATTTTGTACTTATTTTGCACATTTTGACGTCACTTTTCAATGTGAAAGTTTATACTAAGAGGCCACACTTCATCCAAATTCTCATCTGCTAATTGTGTCTTCTCATTGCTTTACTTCATCCACAAAGAAGCAATTTACTTGAAAGTTAATAGTATTTCTATAATTATTATATAATTATTGTTTTCCTATTGAAATGTTTTCTGAGATGTTTCAAATGTTGCATTTATTGGATATTTTATAAATAGTTAAATTCAAACGTTACATAATTTAGATATAGTGAAATATAAGTTTCTATGGCTTTTCAGAAAATTTTCATTTGTGCTACCGCCATCACAATGGAGACACATTACTCTCTAATCAACCTCATCTTCCAACTTTCAGGTCACAGCAAAACTAATTGACTTTCTGTCACCTGAGTTTTGTCTTTCCCAGAATGCAATGCAAATGGAATCATATAGTATGTTTTCTGTACAGTATGGCTTCTTGTAACTTGCATAACATATATGAGATCCATTCATGTCACATATAACAGCAGTTGGTCCCCTTTTATTATGCAAAGGTGCTACAATGCATGGATACGCCAAGTTTGAAGAACACTTAAGTATATTCCAGTACCGGGTGGTTAAGATAAATATTCACATATAAGTTTTATATGAACATGCAAAGTATATTTTGTTCTTATTTGTAATTTCAAGCTATATTTTTATCTGTACAAAATATTTTCTGTGACCTTTATTCTATAATAATTCTACTACTTAGAGAATATATTAATCACTTCAACATAATGTAAAATCAGAATTGAATTCAAATTATATAAGAAATACAAACATAGACCAATTTTTGTAAATTTTTCCCTTAAAAAATTCTTTTTTGCTACTATTCTATGTAAAGAATTAAAACAAAATATTCTATAATGTTCTAGATTAATGATTCAAAATCATTTTCAAATTGCACTAAATTAAAAAATAAATGGCAGCACTAATTAGAACTCTGAAATCATAATAAGGAAAAAGTTAAAATTGGTGGCTTGAAAAGCTAAGCATTCCCGTGTCAGTCATCACTGTCTAATTTACAGTAACTTTAACTCAGACGGTTAGTATTTTTTGTCCATGACAGCAGGGAAAGGATTGGAGTGATAGAATGGAAACATGGTAGATGTTACCTAGCATGTTGTGGTAAAGTGGAATGACCCGTCCATGGGTAGTAAATGCAGTCATGAATGGTGGGACCGTTACACCTGCAGGCAATTACAGAACAGAAAACATCATTCCACATCCACAGTGCCATGCACACGCATGCACGGTGCTCACACATGGGGCCTCGGAGGAAGGACATGGAAAGCAAGCACACCAAGTACCTATCCATCAGGCCGATACAGTCTTCAATGCTCGAGCCTACGCACCTGCAGAAGATGCAGATTAAAAAAAAATGGAAAGAAAAGTTAGCTTGAAAAGAATCAGCACAATAAATAATGCCTTGTTAAATTCTTGATTTCCATTTCTAGAGATTTCGGACACTGGGAATTTCAATCCAGGGAGAAGTTAGTGCTTGAGAACTACCCAGAAATGAATAGCAATGGCCATCCAAGTGGAATGCCAAGAAATGTGTCCACAGTAAAGAAAATTCTGTACTGATTCTGCCGCTAACATCCCCATAGAGGTCATTTCTGTGAATTTCAATTCATTTGCATCTTTCATGATTATATATCTTGTCAGATGACTTGATAGTTCAACGACTGTAATTGTTTTCACATATATGATTTCCTCTAAAAGCCTTTAAGGAAAGACAAAAATCAATTAGAGAAAACATGAAGAATTCCATATAATATAATAACCCGATAGTTAATGGTTATTAAAGGTTATTTTTGGTAGAAAATGAGTTAAAGTGCTTTCATGTCATTACCATAAATAATTTTTCATAAGCAGGTCATTTTAATCTTTCATTATGACTGTCTTCAAAATATATTTGTCTTTAAACATGAATTTATTTACACAGCAAATTACTGATTTATCACATCACAGTTTATCTTCATGCTCTCTTAAAATAGCATCATAACATGAAAGCAAAAACAGATTTTTAAATTGCCATTACATTTAGTTCAAATAATAACAGATAAATAAGAACTCTGAGTAAAGACATAAACAGAAACACAGGCAACTAAAGAATCTACTGAAATAAAAATTTAAGTAAATTTATGTAAGTTCACATAATTCTACTTATCTCTAGAATTCCATTTTCAGCTGTTACAGTAACATTATTTCTTCCATCATCTAAATTTCTAGAATTGTTTTTATTTCTCCCCTTTCCATCAAAGATAAACAGCTTTAGGACATTATTAAGATTTGTTCCCCTTAGCTTATTCAGCTATGATATACAGAACTTCACTGGTGATACTGTATACATATATTTCCAAACCCTTAGTTTTCAAAATTGAAAAATAAGTTTGATTTAATCACAAATATAATGATGTAAAATTATATATAAAAATTAACCACTGAAAAATATTCCAAATTATTGTATCCAACTATTTATTTTATTCTGAAGAACTTATGTTCATCTATTACTTCTTCACAATGTTATTTGAAGACAGTCTTGTCATGCCATACAGTTGATAGTCTACTGCATATTTCCAGGCAAGAATCTGCAAAGTTAGCTTGCAATACTTACAATAACCTTTGCAAGATAAAAATATTCAGTAGTGTAATTCAAGTTGAGTCACAGTGTTAATAACAAAAGCTCTTCAATCACTTAAAAAGATCCATGGTACATGCCTACTAAAATGATCCTCTACTTCTAGAAGTAGGGAAAATATGCATTGATATTTTTCCAATTTTCACTGTGCTCTAATTTAATGAAGGAGATAGATGCATGAGCAGATGTGCACTAATAATGTGGTAAGTGTAGTAAGACACAAGGAAAAGGGTTTTTAAGGAAATAAAGAAGCTGTCCAACTCCAGGAAGTCATGTTCATTTTTTGAGGTGTCAGAAAGCTGATGTTAGGTGTGGTCAGAGATGGCCTTGGCATCATAGTGACTTTAGCAGGTAATGAACAGAAGAAGCAAAATCAGAGAGCTAAGATCTAAAGAAATTCAAAATGCATATGAACAATGATAAGAAATTCTAGATAGGTGCAGTACAAAATTTGAGGCAACAGAAAAAAATAAAATTGAACATTAGATAGGAGGCAGATCTGGGTGTTTATTTGGTTATTAATAAGCTTAATAGAAATCTACTGTGGGGTTTTAAAGAAGTCATGAAATTGCTACAATTGTAAGGAAAACAGATCTCTCTGTCATGTGGATGTTAGTCAGGTGGAAGTCAAGAAGACAGTTTTGGCATGGAGAATATGTTAGCACATGTAAGAGGTGGTTAAGCGAGCTACTGAAATGGGTACTGCAGCAAATGCAAGAAAAGTTTCCAAAGGTACGAGGAGAAAATAAAAAGAAGGTGATTGCTGACTCAATGGAAATTAAAAGAACAAAAGCTTAAGGATGACTTATATTCCTAACTTTTGGTACCGTGAGTAAAAGAATCCAAGAGGGCAATCATGAATCTGTGTGTATGAGACAGAGGAGAGACTCTGATGCTTTTAGTTTCTGTAGCTATGATTTAGTGTTGGTGATTCAATATTATGCAGAAATGTTCCTCAGTAGATGGAAAGGTGATTCTGGGGCTACAGGGGGAAGAAGGTAAAACTATTACAATCCATTTTGAAGTAGTTTATAAGATAAAGGAGAATACATAAAGTGGGAAAAGTATAAACTAAAGATTTGAACTCCAAGAACTCCAATAGCCTCTGATCTAGTACACAATTTTGTGACCACAAAATAGGAAAAACATGAGTAACATTAATTGAATACACCATACATTAGACTATATCCAAAATTAACCTCAAGCAAGAACAGGTGATATTAGTATAAAGAGGAGAAGGATCTAATATAATGAAAACCACTCGAATTTTACTTATCCTTATCAAAGTTCCTAGAAGTTAGGTTGCTTTCCACTGAATAACAAATTAGAGATAGGACAGTAGTGGAAAACGGAAATGAAGAGGAGGGACTCTGGAACAGGATCTGATTTCAAAGCAAGTTGCTGAGGAGAATATGCAGGACACTTGTGATTTAAACAGATTTATGAACAGAAGATGAAAGAAATAAATAAGACCAAAGAAAAGGAGGGAATGAGAGAGTGAGACAGCCTTTCCCGGTGCATGCTACTGTGCATTTAAAGATGCATGCCATATTGCAACTTTTGTGCTTTCTATATGTAAGATACTAATTAGCACAGGAAACTTATATTGCTTCAGCAAGACCATAGAACTTTAAGCTTTTGAAGAGCTAAAATGGCTAATAAGGGGCTGAAATAGAATACAAAATTT